GATAAATTTATGAAACACTTCCAATTAAAAACCCAAGAAATATTTTTTTTCATATAGTAAACTTCGTTTTACATTCAATCCATGACAAATTTTTCAAGTTTTACTTTTAATTTATGACAAGGGAATTTTTTTATTGCTTCAAAATCAGATCGGTAACGTGTCCCAGGTACGAATCGCGATCTTTAAAAAAATCCTGTGCGTTATAAAACATCGCGGCAAAAACAAGTATCGGCGGAAACAATGTATTTTATGTTTATTTATAAATATTGACTCCCATGTTTTAGAAAATATAAATGTACATCGAAAAAAAACGTAATATATGCTTGTCCCAAGTTTTCGTATCAGATCGGTAACGCCGAATTCCGGGATGTTATTTCCTATCAAAACATTTAAATAGGCGCCAACTGATTGCGTGTGATGAAACCCCTTTGTGTAATGTGCAAGTTTCAGTTGGAAGTTCCGACTTCAGTTTCATAGAATTACAGGTAAGATTTTTTCAATCTTTATTTTTCTGTGTCTACCAAATGAAAGATCAGGTCGGTAACGCAAATTGAACAGCAAAATTAATTAATTTTTTTATTTATTTTTGTATGATAAAAACGAATTTATTGTCATGAACATAATAATGCGTTTTTAGGTTTCGAATCTTTAATTAGCGATGTTTAGCTAACAAAATACGGGAAATTCGTCAGATCTGTAACAATCAGATCGGTAACATTGAAATAGAAACCATTTGTTACAGAACTGATGCTTGCGTTACCGATGTTTTCCCACAGTTAGTTTTTCGTGTTTTGCGTTTCTAGAGTTAATTTTTGCAGTGTAAGATGAGTTTAAATGCATCTCTGTAACTGAAAAACTTTCCAATGTTTTTAAATTAGTTTAATTTCTTAAAATCTGTTTCAAAAACATTATTTTCTCCCCAAAATATGAGTTTCCAAACAAATTAATGTCCGTTTTTTTTTTTTTTTTTGTATCGATCTCTGGATCTTCGTTCGTAAAGACTGTTCCAACAATATAACTTTGCATAACTTTTAAATATTCAATTTATTAAATGATTTTGTGCAAGCGCCCCCCCCCCCTTCCAAATTCTGATTGTCCTGAATTAGTTTCGTTTTTTAAACCTGTTTTGAGAATGATTTTATTTTATTTTGATTTTAAAAATTAACTTATCTGTTTGCATGGAATAGAATTTCTCACCTTTAATTAATGAGTTACTAATTTTATTATTTATGTTTAAAATATTACACAAGCTGTACAAATATTAATTTATTCTAAATAATAATTCTTCCCTCTTTTTAAACATAAAAGCTAGTGTAAGTATTTATTTTTTTTTACTTTCAGTTAATACTTTTTACAAAAGTATGGATAAATTAAAGAAAAGCTCAGGAAATACAGTAAAAACAAAAAAAAAAAAAACACTTAAAGAAATTTAGAAAAGGCGACAAGATTGTCGTGACAGTGTCAGGAAATGTAGAGAAAACATGTCAGAAGAGAAGAAAGCTCAGAAAAGAGAAAAAGACAGAGTATAAAAAAGAAATGAGGGAGAAGGGTGTAATTAAAAGTATAAGCAACCTTTCCAATAGACAACAATACACTAGACGAAAACAATGGAAGAAAGATTCGCGTAATTACAGAAAGCGAAAGTCTTTGCAGCAAGCTAAAGAAACACGTGTTGGGAGCAGAGGGTCTCCACGGATTCAGTCTGGCAGAAAAGCAGCAAAACACATTTATAGTTCTTTGAGGTATAAGTTGCAATCTATGATTGCTAAATCTCTTAAACAAGCTAGGAAAATTGAAAATTTAAGAAAAGAAAATTATCGCTTAAAATCCAAAGATAAATCAAAATGTTCATTGTCCCCTGCCACAAAATTACGCAAACTAATTGGTAGAAAAAAGATGTCACCAGAAATAAGGAAGAATTTACTTCTTAACTTTGCTTTTATGTCAGGTCTAGAAGAAAATAAAAAAGTTTTCAAAAAAGAAAAAGAAAGAAGGTTATTTGCTACACGGGTTTCAAATAAAATTATAAAAAAGTATCAAATGATAGGTCAACTTAAAAATTTAGGTTCCAACAAAAATTACAAAAAAGCATTAGAAACAAAGAAGATGCATTTCAAAAGATCATACAAAGGTCAGAAGAATTTGACTGAAGTAAGAAAATCAGTCCAGAAATTTCTTGAAGATGATTTGCATATTTGCATGTGCCCTGGCACAAATTGAATAAATTCTACTATATATATTTTTTACTTTGTTTTATAATGCAATTCCAATTCTGTGTTCATGCTATTTACCTTAAAAGATTTTAAAATAATTCGAATTGTAAATTGAAGTACTCAGATGTATATTCTTCAGATAGCTTTACTGATACAGATTCAGATTCTAACAATCCTCCGGCTAATGCTATCAAAAATATTTTTCAAAATGATTATGTTGTCATAAAATTAGCAGGAAAGAAAAGTGTGAGGTTTTATGTTGGTGTGATCATTTCTCAGGATGCATTTGATGAGTACACTGTAAAATTTATGAGAAAATGTGGAAAAGACAAATTTACTTTCCCCGAAAATGATGACATTGCAGAAGTTGACTCGTCCAATATTGTCAATGTATTATCTCAGCCGTCTTTAAATAAAAGGGAACAATATGTGTTTAATGAAAACTTGGAACATTATAATTTAACTTAAATTTTGCACTTAATTTATGATACAAGAGCTAAATTTGCTAATACAGTAAAAAAATATAAAGATTTAAGTGTTTGTTTCATTCCAGTGTTTTTATTCAAGTGTTATTTCCCCTCAATCTATTATAAATAGTTTATAATTGAGATAATTAATTTCATTTTCTAAAAATCTTTTTAAATTGAAATTTTCAGTACGACAATTTTTTATAATATAATTTTAAATATATTAATATTAATTATAATTCATATATAATTATTACATATATTTATATTATATTACGTATATAAATTATACAGGTAATGTATTATGCACAAGTTAAACATGGAATCTGCAACATTTGTCAGATCTGTAACATTCGCATCAGATCTGTAACAGTCCAGAAAAATAACCCCCCGAAAATGGGGGTAAATGTTCCCCTTGACCTCGCCCCTAATTTTTAAAAAAATCTGTTACTAATGTGTAATTAAAATACACCATTAATTTCATTCACTAAAAATCTTCAAAAATTGAAATTTTCCATATTCAATTTGGCACTTTTCCTAATATTCACCCTAAATCACCTCAATAAAAAGTGCTGTTCTTATATTTAAAAAAAATTACTCTATACTCATGCTCCAATGTATTAATATACTTACAGTATAAGATATATATATATACCCAGTGGCAGAATCACTGTGACGCTGCATCGTACGTCGCAGATTTTAGACAGTGTCTGCAGATTATTTTGTAAAAAAGTTATGTGCTCATAAAATAAATCGAATCATTAAAAATATCAAAGTTATTAATCACGCTTGCAAAAGAACTTGACAATTATTATAAAATGCACATTGAATCCTCTCGCCCTACAGCCCTCATCACCCCCCCTCCCCTTCTTCCCTATGCTGAAAGGGCTCCCCTAGCGACTGCGATTTGACCTTGAAGTACGCTAGGGGCCTCATATCAATATTGGTCTCGGCCAATGTTTTCTACGCGTTTCATTCCGATACGTTTCTGGCTCGGAGCTTTTGGTTTCTGGAAATTACACAGCGTTTTTACTTTGAGATGGATGCGTAAATAGATAAAATTCGTTGCTTTGATTGCGATGGTTCATTATTACGAAAAAATTAAAGCAGCATTATTTACACCAACATGAAAATAAACCTCCAAAGTTTCGATCGATCTCTACGCCTGCAATTCAATCATTTTTTACAAACAGGAGCGGAAAAAAAAAAATTCCGAAATTGATGAAGACGAGGAACAGAGTTCAAGCCAAGATTACCCAATTTTAAACGTTCTAAGCCCGATATTTTGGGAGATGAGGAAGAAGAAATTATTCCAGAACAGATGGACACTACCAAAATTACCAGCGAAATTCCGGTTTCCCTCGAGTCGCCCAGTCACAGTGTCACAGAATTTGCAGCAGAAATTAATGATAAATCAGATAAATGTGCTAATAAATTTCAAAGTTTTTGTTTCATAAAAAAAGCAATTATTTATCGCATTTCAAATTAAAAACATACAAGAAAGACATTTTTTGACATACTTAATTTTTTTTTACAATAAACAAGAGGCATAAATTTTTAAATGACATCCAACATATTGAAGAATATTTCATTTATATGAGCTAGTGATGTATTGTTTTGAAAAAAAATCACCTAACAGAAAGACGTCAAGTGCTGTGTCTAAAACGGAAAAGTACCCAAATATAATTTTCTGCATAGGTATTTGTGTAGTATGCTTAATTTTACTTCTGAAACAACTTGATACTTCATTATTGTTAATCATCTTCCTAAAGAAAAGATTAATCTTCATATGCTTTTGTTTATTAATATATGCAATTATATTATACAAATAATAAAGATGTTATAATGTTTTTAATTTATATTTGTCGCATTTTAATAGTTGTAAGTTGATATAAGTATTTAAAAAAAGAAAGCAAAATATTTAGTCACACACTTATTCTGCAGACTATTTTTAAGAGACCCAACCTCCGTTGCAGACTGTTGAAAAGTATTCTGCCACTGGGTATATATATATAATATATTCTTAATTTATTTCATTTTCTGTAAGGAAAATGAAGTTTTTGCACTATAGAAATTCAAATTACTTTTGGTTCATCCAGAAAGTAAGTTTGCCAGAGGCCATAAAGAGACACAAAACATAATTACTTGGAAACGTTTATTGAAACAGATGCAGTAGACTTTCAGCAATCTCTCAACATAAGAACCATCAGAATGGAAACATGTGTCATACCATGAGACCAATTTATGTTGCACCAATATTGAAGAGATCTGCCACCAGAGAGCAGAGCCAGACTGTGACAGTTGTCTGTCTAAAGGGACAACGGCCATACCATGCTGAAAGCACCGGTTCTCATCTGATCACCGCAGTCAAGCAGCATTGGGTGCAGTCAGTAGGTACTTGGGAGGGTGACATCCTGGGAACACTGCATGCTGTGGGCATTTTAAATTTGTCCTATGTCTATTCAACTGGTTTGGTTGCTGTAATGGCATCAGGCATGGGGCGGTGTTCTGTCTGTCTGCACGTCATTGTCTCTGGGGAAATACTGCTTTGCCAGGAACCTTTTCAAGTGCTGGAACAAATGGTGATTGCTGAGAGCAAGATCGGGAACTATAGGTGGGATGGTCAAACACTTCCCAGAGGAACCAGTGCCACAGATGTTGTGTGTAGAGTGATCCATGAGGGCGAGTGGTTGTTCTCGTGGGGGACCATGACAAGTGTGCATGGTTGTGGAATAGTCTCCCAGTGACTATAATCTGTTTTGGCACTTGAAAAGGTTCCTGGTGAAGGAGCACTTTTCCAGTGATAACTACCTGCAAACAGACAGCTGACACAGGCTGGCTCGGCTCTTAGGCGGCGGCGGATTTCTTCGACATTGTTGTACATAAATTGGTCTTGCAGTATGACACAAGCTTCAATTCCAGTGCTTCTTATATTAAAAGAGTTTTGTATCTTTTTCCATAAATGCTACCATTTAATTATGTTTTGTGCCTTTTTATGGCCTCTGGCAAACTTACTTTCTGGATGACCCAATAATTAGATTTTCATCAAATTTTGCTCACAACTTCTATGAGCATAAGGAAGATTAAACTATCTTTCTATGTATAAAAAGTATTCTTTTATCTTCACTGTTGCCTATCTTATCTTCAGTGTTATTATTGAATGAAAATATTACGGATATTTTAAATCACTTTATTTATTTGCCTCCAAACACAAACATTGCCACTTGCAGTGTTTAATTACAATAAATTTAGTGTCATTATGGAAAAAATTAGCTTTCAGTAATTTTTAAAAATTATTTGATGCAGTCAGTAATTTGGCTGTCAATCATTCAACTAGTGGGATAAGTAAATAAATGTAAATGGCTGCCACTGTATTATACAGAGAAATAAGAACCCAGAACAGCTGATTTCCGAACTAATGAATAGATTTTCTACAAATTTACTCGCAAATGCTGGAAGCATACTGAAGGTTTTAATGTAGGTTTCATGGCAATTAATTAAATAACTAATTTTTTATTAATCTAAAACTATATTTCTATATATAGGAAGACTTTTCTTATTATCATTCCTATTAAATAAAATATTATAGACATTTTTAATCATTTTATATACATATTTGCTTGAAAGTTGCCACTCGCAATATGTAATTGGATTTTGTTTCATTCTTTAAAAGTTATTAATAACTTATGAAAAAATCATCTTTCAATGGATTTTAAAAATTATTTGATACAGTCTACAATTTTTCAAGAAGCTATAACATTTAAAGATTGTTGGGTGAAAGTAGTATTTACATTTTAATTGAAAATAAATATGTGGAAGATTTCGTGTAATGTAATATTTTATTCGAAAGAATTTTTTTTCATTTATTTATGTTGTGCATGTTAGCATGTGAATAAAAGTGAAAATTCATGAATAGTTTGTATGCTGCAGAATTCCAAATTACTGAATGGATTTTCTATAACTTTTACTCCAAAATACTATGATGCACAAAGAAGGTTTTGTGGCTGTTAATTAAAGAGTTAATTTTTTTATTAATAAAAATCATAAAAATATTTTCATCCGAAGCAATGCTGGATGTATCTTATATAAGCAATACTGTTATAGACTTTTCTTCCATGTGGGAAATATATCAAATTCTGATGCAAGCTGAAAATTAAAGCATTTTAATGCTATCATTTCAGAATCAAATCAGGTCTACTTTCTAAATTTGTGTTAAAGAATTACATAAAAATGGAACCGAATTAGTTTGACAAGGATCCTAGTTATATTTAATTGTTAGATGCTGCAAAATTATCTTCTGAATTACTGTATTTCTTTTCAGTTAATTTTCAGCAGAAATCTATCTTACTTGTTCATTTTATCTCAACAAACTTGGTTCTTTTCTCAGAATAGTTTTGTATTTTGTTTGCAGATCTGAGAAAGAAAATGCATTGGGAACTTGGAGATTCTGAAAATATCCCAAGACTTTTTCCTGTGCTAGGAGAAGAGTATTTTAGACCTGTGGAAAGAGGTATTCTCTACTAATAATAAAGGAGTATGTGTGTGTGTGTGTGTGTTGGCTCTCTACAGGACAGACTGTTAGATTTAGAGAAACGAAATTTTGCACAAACATATTTTGGAGGTTGGGACTGTGCACCTCAGACCCATTTTTTTGAAATTTTAATTAGAATTTTGATTAATTAAAAATTAAGCTTAATTTTGGCGTTTTTCCTTAATAACTTCCGAAAATATTAAAACAAAAAATATTTTTAGACCATATGAAAATTTAAAAAATTACATTTTGAATGATATCAATTAAGTTGGCGTACAATATTTTCTCTAATTTTAATAATTTTAAAAAATATTTTTTGGCATAATTTACGACAATACCTTCAAACCGCTTTCATTGTTTAAAGAAATATTTAATTGTACATTTCTCTTCCATTGTTGAAAGCTAGGAAAATATCTAACTGGATTTTACTTTCTTTTATTTGATCAATTTTTCTGTGAAATCTGTAATGGAAGTCCTCTTGATAGTTAGTATATAATGAAATAATCCAGTGAACTGAAAGATTAACATTGCTATATTTTAATTCTTTTTATCAGCATGTTTTAAACCAATTAGCTTGCTGCTGGGCAAATGTGCCACTCCAATTTAATGTTGAAATCAAATGTGTATTTACGTTAATGTAGACAAGGAACAGAACAAGTGCAATGCTACGAAAAGAATGTGGGTTAAATGTCTATAGCAATTTGAAGTTTAAAACTACTTTGTTGAAGGAACCATGAGTATAAAATTATGCATAAGAGATTCAGTTGAAATTTTATTTTCTTCAATCACAAACTGGTCGCCGAGGGCGGCTAGTGTAAAATAAATAGCATATATTTTTATTGTAATGAGGAAATTAAATTATTTTATTTTTGACAACACTACTTAAATTGCATTCTGCTAAAGCTGTAAGAAAGGAAATTACTATTTTAACATTTTTTAAAATTCTTATATATATAATAAGAAATTGTGATGTATTATTTTTTGCACTAACACTATAATATTTTATTTCTGATACTATCCTAAATTAATCTGGTTATCTGAATTAGAGCTGTGAATAATATCTCTCAATAAGAAAACTTTTAACCCTGATGGAATCACGGATTTAAATATTCTGATCCTTTCTGTCAACATATATCCATCCCATTCTCAGAATGAGAGGTGTAATTAATATCTTTTCAATAGCAGTTTGTATTTCCAGTATTTTAATTAGTGTTCTCATTTCTTCTGTCATTGCAATTCATCTGGTTCTCAGAATCAGAGTTTTGAATAATATCTTTAGTCATAAATTAATCATGTGCTTTTTCAATAAATACTATAAAATTTGAATTTTTAAACTCTGACTCCTTTCATCTGTCCTATTAGCCTGAAATGACATATAGTTTACAAGATGTTGGTAAAGAACTTTTCTTCAGATGTTAATTATCTTCTATATCAGCAAAATTTTACATAATTATGACCAGACTCAGTATGCCAGTTCTCCCTTCCCCTGGGGTATCAATGGTGGTGAAATCATCACTGCTGTTGGGATGATGGCCATTTTGTGACTGACCACAGCACCTGTATTGCTATTCCTGGTAACCTAATCATCCAGATGTTCCAAATGGCTTAGTCTAGGCATTAGTGATCACACATTGGACGTACATGTTTTTCATTTTTTTAAAATAAATTTTGCAGTTGGCTGACAGTGTACATTGTAATCTGTCATCACATCAGGTTTATGAAAATTTAGTTATATTAACTTTTTATCAACTGCTTTAATATTTTTTTTCTGTGAATGAGAAGTAGCTGCCAAAGTTTTAGTTGTGTAAGAATACTAGGTAATGCAGCTCAGTTTTATCATAGGTATTTTAAATTTCAGTAATACAAACTGTGTTGTTACATAACCTCAGTTATTTAGTATGATGTGTTTAATGAATGTATTCATCTTCTTTTGGTTTATAGCATTCGATTTCACCAAGTTTTACTAATTTTTACTTGTAGTTTTAAATTTAAAGAAATATATGAGCTTTTTGAAGAATGGGGAGTAATTCTTTAGAGTTACATAGTTTGATTTTTAAGAAAATCCTTGCTTCTAATTATAGGAACCAAATTTTAATGCAAGTTTTGAATTAAAAAAATACTTAGTGAACTTTTTGGGTATTACTTGCAATTTAAGAAAGATGCAGTATTCTGATTCTTTATTTGCATATTCTTTGTTTCTTACTTTAACTATTTTTAAAAATTTCCTTTTAGAGAAAATGTTTGTTGGGAAGATAAACATAAAGAAGGAGACATCTCGTTTGATTAAGTAAGTATGCTTTTCATATGTGTTATTGTATAGTTTATTAATTGTGGAGCTAAAGACTCAGGTTGACTGAAGTGTTATGTCTCTATATTTTTCAACAGCTTCAGTATAGGACCCCATTGGCGATATTTTGTTTTGGCGACTTTTTTCAACAGCTTCAGTATAGGACCCCATTGGCAATATTTTGTTTTGGCGATTTTTTCAACCGCTTCAGTATAGGACCCCATTGGTGATATTTTGTTTTGGTGATTTTTTTTCAACAGCTTCAATGTAGGACCCCATTGGAGATATTTTGTTTTGGCGATTTTTTCAACAGCTTCAGTACAGGACCCCATTGGCGATATTTTGTTTTGGCGACTCAACAATATCATGTTCGGTTAGGCGACAAAAAGTCGCCAATACAAGATTATCGCCAGTGATGCTGCATATCAAAGCTGTTCCAACCTTGTTTCTACCTACTGTGTTTTGGTACATATTTGAAAAATAATAAGTGCATTTTTTTTATTTTCTCGGTTTAATATATACATACTTTTTTAGAGAATTATCATCTCATTGGCCTATCGGAAGCCATTTAAAAAGAGTTAGATGGACGCAACAAAAAGGTAAGAATTTTAAACAC